GAACCAAAATAAATGACATGAGTAGAAGATAAAATATTCTCTTAAATTGCTTCTTTCAACCTTGCTACTGCAAGAGGGAGATAGTAACCTATTGCGTTTAAACTATAAAATTGGGATGATGGAATACATGGATGCATTTTTTTATTCAAGTATAATTAACATAGTGTTATTTTAGTTTCAGGTGTACAATATAATGATTCAACAATTCTATATGTTATTCGGTGCTCATCCCAATAAGTGTACTCTTCATCCCCTTCACCGATTTCACCCGTCCCCCCACCAACTCCATTCTGGTAACCATTACATTGTTCTCTATAGTTAAGAGTCTATTGTTTTTTGTCCTTTTTTTCTTGACTGTTTTGTTTCTTAAATTCCACATATGAAAAAAATCATATGGTATTTGTCTTTCTCTGGCTGACATCTCACTTAGCATTATACCTCTACATCCATCCATACTGTTGCAAATAGCAAGATTTCATTTTTTATAGCTGAGTAATATTCCATTGTATGTGAGTATACATATATATTTATACATACACTCACTTTGTGTGTATACACACACACATATCTTTTTTATCCATTGATCTATGGATGGACACTTGGGTTGCTTCCATATCTTGGCTATTGTAAATAATGGCACAATAAACATAGGGGTGAATACACTTTTTCCAATTAGTGTTTTCATTTTCTTTGGGTAAATATACAGTGGTAGAATTACTGGATCATATGGTAATTCTATATTTAATTTTTTGAGGAAGCTCCATACTCTTTTCCACAATGGCTGCATCAATTTACACTCCCACCAAAAGTGTATGAGGGTTCCTTTCACTCCACATACTTGTCAACACTTGTTATTTCTTGTGTTTCTTGTTTTAGCCATTCTGACAAGTGTAAGGTGATATATCATTGTGGTTTTGATTTGCATTTCCCTGATGATGAGTGATGCTGAGTATCTCACATGTCTATTAGCCATCTGTATGTCTTCTTTGGAAAAATGTCTATTCATGTCCTCTGCTCATGAATAAGACTGGTTTTTTTGGTGTTGAGTTGTGTTATTAATCCCTTATCAATTACATCATTTGCAAATATCTTTTCCCATTCAGTATGTTGCCTTTTTGTTTTGTTGATGGTTTCCTTCACTGAGCAAAAGACTTTAATTTTGATGTGGTCCCAATAGTTTAATTTTCCTTTGCTTCCCTTGCCAGAGGAAACATATCTATAAAAATGGCTGATTTCTACACATGATGTCAAAGAAATTACTGTCTATGTTTTCTTCTAGGAATTTTATAGTTTCAGGTCTCACATTTAATCCATTTTAGTTTACTTTTGTATATGGTGTTAGAAAGTGGTCCAGTTTCATTCTTTTGCATGTAGTTGTCCAGTTTTCTCAACACCATTTATTGATGAGACCAACTTCTTCCCATTACATATTCTTGCCTCCTTTGTCATAGATTAACTGATCATAAAGGTGTGGGTATATTTCTGAATTCTGTTCTCTTCCATTGATCTATTTGTCCATTTTTGTGCAAGCAGCACACTGTTTTTATGACTACAGCTTTGTAGTATATCTTGAAATCTGGGATTATGTTTTGTCCTTCTTTTTCAAAATTGCTTTGGCTATTTGGGGTCTTTTGTAATTCCATACAAATTTTAGGATTATTTGTTCTAGTTCTATGGAAAATGCTGTTGGCATTTTGGTAAGGATTGCATTAAATCTGTAGATTTCTTTGGCTAGTATGGACATGTAAAAAATATTGGTTATTCCAAACCATGAACAGAAAATATTTTTCCATTTGTTTGTATTGTCTTCAATTGTTCTTATCAATGTTTTATAATTTTCAGAGTATAGGTCTTTTACCTTTTTGGTTAAGTTTATTAGCAGGTATTTATTCTTTTTAGTGCAATTGTAAATGGGATTGTTTTCTTAATTTCTCTTTCTACTTCATTATTAGTGTACAGAAATGCAATCGACTTCTGTATGTTAATTTTGTGTCCTGTGACTTTATTGAATTCATTTATCAGTTCTAGTAGTTTTGGGGTGTAGTCTTGAGGATTTTCTATATGTAGTTTCACATCATCTGAACATAGTGAAAATTTTACTTCTTCCTTACCAATTTGAGTGACTTTTCTTTTCTTGTCTGATTGTTGTGGCCGGGACTTCCAATACTGTGTTGAATAAAAGTGGTGAAAGTGGACATCTTTGTCTTGTTCCTGATCTTAGGGAAAAGCTCTTAGTTTTTCACCACTGAATATGATGTTAGTTGTGGGTTTCTCATATATGGCCTTCATTATGTTGAGGTATGTTCGCTCTAAACCTACTCCATTGAGGGTTTTTATCATGAATGGATGTTGTACTTTGTCAAATGCTTTTCTGCATCTATTGAGAAGATCATATGATTTTAATCCTTTCTCTTATTGATGTGATGTATCATACTGACTGAATTGTGAATATTGAATCACCTTTGCAATCCAGCAATAAATCCCACTTGATTGTGGTGAATGACTTTTGTAATGTTTTGTTGCATTCAATTTGCCAAAATTTTGTTCAGGATTTTTGTCTCTATGTTCATCAGAGATATTGGCCGGTAGTTCTCTTTTTTTGCAGTATTTTTATCTGGTTTTGGTTCAGGGTAATACTGGCCACATTGAATGAATTTGGAAGTTTTCCTTCCTCTTCTATTTTTTGGAAAATTTTAAGAATAGGCATTCACCCTTCTGTAAATGTTTAGTAGAACTCACCTGTGGAGCCATCTAGTCCTGGACTTTTTCTGTGGGGTGGGGGGGGAGTTCTTTTTTTTCCCTAGTTTTCATTTAAACTCCAGGTGGTTAACATACAGTGTGATATTAGTTTCACGTGTTGAATTTAGTGAGCCAACACTTACATATAACACTCAGTGCTCATCACAAGTGCCCTTCCTAATCCCCATCACCCACTCAACCCATCCCCCTGCCCACTTCTCCTCTAGTAACCATCAGTTTTTTCTCTATATAATTATGGATTCAATTGTATTGCCAGTAAATGGTCTGTTCAAATATTCTATTTCTTCCTGATTCAGTTTTGGGAGGTAATATGTTCCTAGTAATTTATCCATTTCTTCTAGGTTATACAATTTGTTGGCATATATTTTCTATAATATTCTCTTATAATCCTTTGTGGTGTATAATTTCTTACAATTTCTATGATGCCAGTTGTTATTTCTTTTGTTTAATTTCTGATTTTACTTGAGTCCTCTCTCTCTCTCTCTGGTGACTCTGGATAAAGGTTTATCAATTTCCTTGATCTTTTCCAAAAAACAGCTCCTGGTTTCATTAATCTGTTCTATTGTTTCTTTAGTTTCTATTTATTTCTAACCCTTATTGTTTCCTTTCTTCTACTGACTTTGGGTTTTGTTCTTTTTCTAGCTCCTTTAGGTGTAAGGTTATGTTTTTTATTTGAGATTTTTCTTGCTTCTTGAGGTAGGCCTATATTGCTATGATCTTTCCTCTTAGAACAGTTTTTGCTGCATCCCAAAGATTTCAGATCTTTATTTTCATTTCTCTCCATGTAATTTTTTTATTTCCTCTTTGATTTCTTGGTTGACTCATTTATTGTTCAGTAGCATATTATTTAATCTCCATATATGTGTGTTCTTTCCAGATTTTTTCTTATGATTGGTTTCTAGTTTCATACCATTGTGGTCAGAAAAAAATGCATGATATGATTTCAATCTTTTTTAATTTGAGACTTGTTTTGTGGCCTACAATGTGATTTATTCTGGAGAAGGTTCCATGTGCACTTGAAAAGAACGTGTATTCTTGTTTTATGATGGAATGTTCTGAATATATCTGTTAGATCCATCTGTTCCAATGTGTCATTCAAAGTTCCTGTTTCCTTTGTTGATTTTTTTGTCTGATCTGTCCATTGATGTAAGTAAAAGTCCCCTACTATTATGGTATTACTATTAATTTCTTGCTTTATGTCTTAATAGTTGCTTTATGTACTTGGGTTCTTCCATATTGAATGCATAAATATCTACAATTGTTTTATGTTCTTGTTGGAGTGTTCTCTTTATCATTATGAAGTGTCCTTCTTTGTCCCTTGCTACAGTCTTTGTGTTAAAGTATATTTTGTCTGATATAAGTCTTGCTACCTAGCTTTCTTTTCTCTTCCATTTTCATGATAAATGTTTTTCTATCCCTTCACTTTCAATCTGCATGTCTTTAGGTCTGAAGTGAGTCTCTTGGGGGCTACATATGGATGGGTCTTGCTTTTTTATCCATTCAGTCATCCTATGTCTTTCATTTGGCATGTGGTCTATTGATAGTTAAAGTAGTTATAGAGGTATGCCTTTTGTTACTTACTGTCATTTTGGTTACTTTTTTTAATGGTTGTTTTTGTAGTTCTCCATTCCTTTCTTCTCTTGCACTCTTTCCCTTGCGGTTTGATGGTTATCTTTAGTGATATCCTTGACTTCCTTTCTCTTCATTTTTGGCATATCTATTTTAGGTTTTTGATTTGTGGTTACCATTAGGTTCATCTATAACATCCTACGCATATAGCCATCAATGTTAAGTTGATAGATACTTAAGTTTGAAACCATTCTAAAAGCACTACATTTTTCTCCCCCCCCCATTTTATGTATTATATTTAGCATCCTTTTGTAAATACCTTGACTGATTTTATAGATATAATTGATTTTACTGCTTTTGTGCTTTAATCTCCATCCTGGTTTTATAACTGATTAATCTACTACTTTTATTATGTTTTTATTTACCTGTGAGTTTTTTTCCTTTCATAATTTTCTTACTTATTGAGGCATGTTCTAATATAGAAGTATTTTTTCCACCACCAATTCCCATAACCCTTTGCATTATGGCCACCGAAAGCAAATCTTTTTTTCCCATTTAAAAAAAAAAATTATGGGTAAAAAAGCTTTAATAGAGAACTAGGAGTAAAATGTAAATATCAACTACAAATTGAACATATTAGAGAGGGAGAAGCATAATAAAAATATAATTACCTGGCGGCCATTTAATGTTTTGGATTGTGTACAGCCTGCAAAGCAAGGAGAAAAATATCCAGTATTATCTCTTCCACAGATAGCAGAATAAAACGAAGATGAGCATCTACAGTGAGAATTGCAAGGAGCTGTCAGGTTTCCCAACTGTCCTGTTCTGTAAAAAAAGAGATTTAATGTAATTATACCACAGTATTATACTGATTAATGTATATATCAGAATATCAATGAAATCCATAAAAATATGATTATTGAAATATAATTTCTTTTTAAGAGGTTTATTGAAGTATACTCATATATATAATAAAGTATACAACTTGAATTTTTTTATATATGTATACATTTGTGAAATCATTACCACCATCACCACAATCTTGTTAACAAACATAATCAACACCCCCAAAATTTCCTTGTGTCCCTTTGTAATACCTCTGTCCCCTGGCATCTGCTAATGTATTTTCTGCCATTATTCATTAATTTGAATTTTATAGCATCTTAGAAATGGAATCATACAGTATGTACACTTTCTTTGTCTGGCTTCTTTCATGCAGTTATTCTTTATATGGTCTTTGTATGTCTTAATGTCTCTTGGGGAAATACTAAGGAGTAGGATCATACAGTAGGTGTTCATGTAACTTTTCGAGAAACTGTCACTTTTCCAATTTGGTTGTGCTATTTTATATTACCATCAGCAGTGTATAAGAGTTTCAGTTGCTTTCTACATTCCTCACCAACACTTGGTATAATCAATCTTTTTTTTAGATTTTTTATTTATTCATTTGAGAGAGAGAAAGATTGAGAGAACAAGTGGGGTGAGGTGCAGAGGGAGAAGCAGGCTCCCTGCTCAGGGATGCGGGGCTTGATCTCAGGACCCCGGGATCATGACCTGAACCAAAGGCAGATGCCTAACCAACTGAGGCACCCAAGCGCCCCCAGTTTTTTAATTTTAGACATTCTAACAAGGATATAGTAGTTTCATATTGTGGCTTTTAATATTCCCTTCCCTGATGGCAAATGATGTTGGTCATCTTTCCATATGCTTATTTCTCGTCTGTATATATTTGGTTAAATGTCTGTTCAAACCTTTGCCCATTTTTATTGATTATTTTCTTATTATTAGGCATTGAAAGTTCTTTATATATTCTGGAAACAAGTCCTTCATCAGATATATGATTTTCAAACATCTTCTCACAATCTACAGCTTGTTTTTTCATTCCCTTAACAGGGTCTTTCAAAGAGCAGAAATATTTTATTTTGATGTAGACCAATTAGTCAATGTATTTCTTGATGGATAACGTATTTAGTGCCATTACCTAAGAAAACTTTGCTGAACCCAAGTTTACAAAATATTTTCCTATATTCTTGGTACTTTATATTTTATATTCACATCTACAATCCATTTTAACTATTTTATGTGCTACATGATATGGACCAAAGTTCATTTACCTACATATAGATGTCTATTTGCTCCATCATCATTTCTTAAAATGACTATATGTTTTTCACTAAATTGCCCATGCATTCTATCAAAAATAAATTATCCATTTATATGTGGGCCTATTTCTGGACTCTCTACTCTTTACACTGATATATTTGTCTATATTTATACCAATGTTATTTTCTTTATTACGTTAGCTAATAACTCTTGAAATCAAATAGTGTTGGTCCTCCACTTTTACTCTACATCTTCATCAGAATTGTTTTTGATTTTTCTAGGTCCTTTGTATATTGTATGAATTTATTTGTATAGTATCTTTTTAAAAAAGAAAGCCTGTTGGGATTTTGATTGTGATCACATTGAATACATACATCAATGTGGGGAGGATTAACTTAATATATTGAGCTTCCAACCCATGAACACGGGATATCTCTCTATTTAAAAATTTAGGTCTTTAATTTGGTACAGGAATATTTTGTAGTAATTATGAATAGGGCTTTCACATCTTATATTATATTACCCTTAAGTATTTCTTCTTCTTGATACTACTGCTAATGGCATTTTTGTATTATCAATTTCTAGTTGTTTGTAGGTAGTATATAAAAACACCATATTTTCTTGTATAATGATCTTTTCTTCTACAATATTCCTTTTTTCTTAATACTGTTAACAGTGTTATTTTTGACACTAATTTCTGCTTATTTGTAGGTTGTATGTAAAAATAATGTAAATTCCTGCATGTTGATCTTGTGTCCTGCAAACTTGCTAAACTCATTTTTTTTAAGATTTTTTTTATTTATTTATTTGACAGAGAGAGCGAGCGAGAGAGAGCACAAGCAAGGGGGGCAGCAGAGGGAGAGGAGAAGCAGGCTCCCTGCTGAGCAAGGAGCCAGATGCAGGGCTCGATCCCAGGACCCTGGGATCATGACCCAAGCCTAAGGCAGACGCTTAACCCACTGAGCCACTCAGGTGCCCCTAAATGCCTTTTTTTTAATTATAGTGGGTTTTGGATTTTCTGTATAGACAATTGTGTCACCCTCAAATAAACACAATTTTACTTCTACTTTTCTTATCAGGATGCTTTTTCTTTCTTTTTCTTACGGTATTGTAACAGTTAGAACATCCACAATAATGTTAATACAGAAGTACTGAAAGTAGGTATCCTTATTATACCCCTGGTCATTCAATGTGTCATCATTGTCTTAGTCTGCTCAGACTCCTGTAACAAAATATCACAGCTTGGGTAGTTTAAACAACAAATATTTATTTCCCACAGTGTCTGGTGTGTTCCCTTCCCAGATTACAGACCATCACCTTCTCAGTGTAACCTCACATGGCAAATTGAGTCAAGTCTTTGGTTTATTCCCCTTCTTATAAGGACACTAATCTCCAACATCAGGGGGATGGTGGTCTACCCTCAGGATCTTATCTAAACCTGATGATCTTCTTAAGGCTCCACCTCCTAATACTATCACATTGGACATTAAGGCTTCAACATATGAATTTAGTAGGAGGGTAAACACATTCATTCCATAATAATCACTAAGTATAGTGTTAGCTGTATATTTTCATAGTTCCCTTCTATTCCTAGTTTCATAGTTTATGAGGAATAGATGTTGCACTCTATCATGGACCTTTTTGGCATCTACTGTGATTATGGTTTTTTCATTTTTAGTTTATTAATATGTGGATTATATCGATTGACTTTCAAATATTAAAGCAACCTTGCATTCCTTTGATAAATCTTGCTTGATCATAATTTATTTTCCTTTTAATATACTATTCAGTTCAATTTGCCAGAATTTTGTTAATCATTTTTGAATCTATGTTCATGAGAAAAATAGGTCTATAGTTTTCTTTTCTTACAATGTCTTTTGTCCAGTTTTGATATAAAGAAAATGCAAGTTTCATAGAATAAGTTGGAAAGTATACACTCTTGTTCAATTTTCTGGAGGAATTTGTGTAAAGTCAGATATTGTTAAATATTTGGTTTAGTTCTCCAGTAAAACCGTTTGGGCCTGGAATTTTCTTTTTCAGAAAATATTTTAAGTACATATTTGATTTACTTACTAGACACATATTTTTTTTTTCTTAAATGAGTTTGTGTGTCTTTTGAAGGATTTACCCATTTCATGGAAGCTGTCAGATTTATGGGCATAAAGTTGTTTATAACATTACCTTACTATCCTTTTAATATTGGTGGAATCTATAAAAACATCACATCAGAACTCTAACTCTTGATATTGGTAGTTTTCTCTGTCTAGAGGTTTAGCAAGTTTATCAATCTCCTCAAACTTTGACCTGATTATACTTCCTCCTCTGTTTTTCTCATTTCTACTTCATTGATTTCTGTTTTAATCTCAATCGTTTCCATTCTTGTACTTACTTTGGGATCAATATGCTTTGATGTTTCTAGTTTATTAAGGTAGAGGCAAGTGTCATTGGTTTGAAACTTTTTTCTTTTCTAATACAGGTTATATACATTTTCCCGTAAGTACTATCTTAGCAAAATTCTATAAGTTTTGTTACTTGTTTTCATTTTCATTCACCTCAAAATACTTTACAATTTTTCTTCTGAAGAAATTATTTGAACACAAGTTATTTAGAAATTAGTTTCCAAATGTTTGGGGCTTTTTCAGAAATCTTTTTTAATTAATTGTAGTTCTAAGTTAATTTCATAATGGTCAGAAAATTTAATTCCATTATATGACTTAATCCTTTAAATTTACTGAGACTTGCTTTACAGAATATGGTTTACTTTGGGTTTCCTGTGTTTTTTAAAAAAATGTGAATTCTTTGATAAGTGAAATGTTCTACAAATGTCAATCATGTCAACTTGGTTGTTAATGTTATTCAAATCTTTCATATCCTCACTGAGTTTTTTTGCCTACTTCTATTATTAAGAGAAAAGTATCAAAATATCTGACTATATTTGTGGATTTCTATATTTCTACTTGTAGTGTCTAGGTTTTTGCTTCACATATTTTAAAGCTCTTTCATTAGGCTCATAAACATTAAGAACTGTTTGAATTCTTGATGAATTGACCACTCTATCATTACATACTCACCTTCTTTATTCCTGCTAATATTTGCTCACAAATCTACTTGGTCTACTATCACACTCTGACTTTCTTTAGATTACTGTTAATATGATACATCCTTCCCCATCCTTTTACTCATAATCTACTTGTGTCCATATTTGAAGCACATTTCTTTTATACAACATATATAGTTGGGTCTTGCTTTTTTTAAAAAATCAAATTGGAAATTTTCTGCCTTTTCATTGACATTATATGCAATTACTACTATAATTAGGTTTGAATCTATCCTTTCTGTTCATTTTCTTTTTTATCTTTTCTTTGTTCTCTTTTTTCTTTTTTTGACTAATTCGAGATTAAACAAATGTTTTTATAAAATTCTATTTTAATTCATGTGTCAGCTTGGCTTATTAGCTGTGACTCTGTTATTTTATGGTGCTTCACAGTTTATATTATACATCTTTAACTTAACACAGTCTACCAACATGTGATATATGGCACTTCAAGTAAACCCATATTATCTTTATCTATTTTAAACAATTATTTTTAAAAAGATTTAAATAAGAAAAAATATCTATAAATTACCATTCCCTTTGCTCTTCTTTGCTTTGTGTAGTTCATATTCTTATCTGGCATTATTTTATTTCAGCCAGAAAGACATTTTTCAACATTTCATGTAGT